CATCCCCTACCACCGCACCATCCCTGATTACCTCATCCCCTACCACCGCACCATCCCTGATTACCTCATCCCCTACCACCGCATCATCCCTGATTACCTCATCCCCTACCACCGCACCATCCCTGATTACCTCATCCCCTACCACCACACCACCCTCATCTCCTAGCACTGCACCATCCCCATCTACCAAAGGCATGTCTTGACCCAACTGCACATCGAATACGGCACAACCCCTCCCATCTTCCCAAGCTTGCACCACCCTTTCTACCTTCTCAATTCTTTCCTGGAACTCCAGAGACCCACTCATTTTAAGAAGGCATGACAGCCTGGCAAGAACAGCCTCAGTCCGGTGGTGTCTTGCTTCTGGCCCTACAATTGGACACACAGTTACTGGTGCCACTTGAGGAAGGGGAACATCCTGAACAACGTTTATTTTAAGCCACCTGTTGTCAGGAGCATACAAATCAGCCTCAGCAACATTAAAGGACTCGGCAAAGATTGACAGCATGTGACAACAAGGCAGAGAAGTTTGACAAAAAAACGGACAAGCACAGGACAAAGGACGACCACAAACATGGTAACGAACACCAGAAGCATCCACACAGTCAAAACCATCAACAGGAACAGGGAATGAGACATGGTCTTCCAGCATCAACTGTACAGCATGTGCTGAAAAAACAGAATATAAACCCTGCCATCTCGGATTGGCGTCACGAAAATGAAACGATGACATTATTTCGACTGCCGAGGCAGCTTTAACATCAAATAGCTGGGTCACAGAGTGCTGAAAGAGCTTCTTGACAGCCTCTGACATGGAAGTGTTGCTGTTAAGAATCTCTTTCAGCCTTCTGTTCTCCCCCTCACACTTGTTGTTGGTATCATTGAGGTAGAGACGGTTGTGGAGGCGGGCATGGTAAGCCCAAGACTCAACACAATTAAGCCAGTGGTTGGCAATATAATCATAAAATACATGAGACAACGACATGATTTCAGTGACATTTCTATTAAATGTAGCAATGTCATTCGTGGTGACAAGGACATGGGCCAGCTGCTGCAGGCGGTCCTTCACCTCTTTTGCGCATTGCAGCTTCTGTAGCTTCGCTTTCATAGCCTTGTGCACATGGAATGCACAAAGCATAGTTGAAGCATTAGGCATGTATTGTTTTATAGCATTAATTTCATTGGGGTCCTTGTCTGTCATTGCATACATGGTACGATTTACAGACTCTCCCATAAACTCCACAAATATCTGCATCATCTTGGCCAAGATGTCCGCATTCTCCTGGCGCACAAAGGCATAAAATACTGCCCGTCCTCTGCCACAACCATCCTCCACCATCACCTGGTACAGTGGATAGCCACACTTGTTGGTCTTGTAGGTTCCTGAAGAAGACATGCAAAACATAGGTTGTTTTATATATATACATATATATAGTAGAAGGTTTTACTGCCCTCGCAACTGCATAAGGTCATATGAGCACCAAGGGGTGGGTGTCAACAGAGAAGTCTTTACAGGGAATCAGACTTAGACTGCTCACCTCTCTAGCTTCAACAGCACAAGGTCTGCTTCGACTATCAAGGCACCCCAAAATAGCAGGTCACAAGGGAGTGACAAACATATCAAAGAAGTAGAGGACATGACAATAGTAAGGATCAGGAAAGAGAAAGCAGCAGTTCTCTGTTGTAGATCAGGCAGTTATGAGCGTGACATGAATCTGCCCATTTACAATTCGACTATGCTGGAACGAGATACGTCCCTCCATTGGGAATGGCCTAAAGACACTTCAGTCAGTGCAAGTCAAAAGCATAACAAGGTCTAACAAGTTTTATACACGTATTTTGGGTATAATTAGGCTATATTTAACCCTTAAGACTTCTGCATTACAAGGCTCAAATAGTACTTTGCCTTTACAGGCATTTGGGGGGGAAATCTAAAGAAACTGGGTGGGATGAGTAAAACTGAGAGAACAAACTGATATACTGTCATTAAATTTTCGAGAGACTCACAGGAGTCAACAAGTAAACATATGAGGTAATTATTTGTTTTTTATTCAGATGACCTTGCCAGCCCTTTTGAATATCTAATTATAAAATTGGTTTGACCATCCCTGGACAAGATAAAACAGAAGTTTAGGTTTGAAGTAAAAATGTATAATTTGATTAATATGAAGAAGAAAAATTCCATGTATATGAACATGTACCAAAAAGCCTATTTTCCCCCAAACTACTCAAGATATTTACACAAAATTTCCCAAAGACAAAAATGATTGAGGTGACAGATTATGCACATAAAATTTGTGTGACCGACCGTTTTCGATCGTGTAATAAAGTGTAATTCAATTTTAAAAACACATTTTTTCAAATATTTTAGCTTGAAACCACAAATATTGATGAAAGAATACATACAGTGAGCACAAAGAGGAAATAGAAAGAAAATCAACAAAAAGGTCAAAATCGGGGGCAATTTTGGTACAGTGGAATCCTGTTATAACGAGAGGGAGGGGACCGGAGCAAAATGTCCGTTATAAGGGATCCAGTAATAAGTTCAGGAGAAACTGTAAAGTAGGCCTAATCTGTGAGTTTGGTGTCCTGTTTATTTCCTTTTGCCATCTACCCTGATGATGATTTTGTTTAAACATGACCTGTAGGTCTTACTTGATTAAACATCGAATCAGGTTTCTTTCTCTAGCGCTAGATCTAATGATGTTGACAGACAGCTCGGCATTGGCGATCAGAAAGAAAAGGCTCTAGGCTAACTCGCCCGCTGTGTTTTCCCCCACCCCACCACACCCTGAAGTGCATTCCGTCAGCTTGCGCACGTCACACATTTCTTCGACCTCTCCATTCCCACATCGGAGAAGTGAGAGGCCTGGTAGGCCTTGATAATCTAAACAAGGCTTACGTTGGCCTATCACGTGATGCGTTCTGCTTGTCTGCGCAAGTCACACCCTCCCTACTCAGTCGCTTCGGCCTTCATTGTTGACACCCATGGGCTCTCCTATTCTTTGTTTCGCTAGATCACCAACTAGTTTCTCAACTGTCGAAGTTTTATATTATGTATAATTGGCCCATGCACTGCCCATAGCAGCAGCAATATTCCGCTATAACCGACTCGCGTGTTTGTCTGATTGCGCTATAGCAGTATTTTATTTACAAAGGTGAAGAAGAGAAAAAAACGGGGTTTTAGAATAGCGGCTTTATAACAGACTTCTCGTTTTTTCCGGACTCATTATAAGTGGACTCCACTGTAACACATCATTCTTTTCCAGGACATAAATTTTTTTTTTAAAAATGGTACTGACCATCCATGTATATCACATCCGGGTACTTGTGAAACAAGCTGACCATGTGGGATGTCGAAAAGGCAACAATATCAACCAATCTCCCATTCCCATTGTCAGAAATCTGCACCTTCACTTGTCCATGGGACTGCAGCCCCTCCAAATTGTCCAACAAATCATCCACGTCGCCACGGGCACGACCAGACTTCACTGAAATCAGAATCAACATCGAAATACAATCAGCTATCATGTACAGCGGAACTTGGTTTCAAAAGGAGTTGGATTCCCCATTGTCTCTATTCATAATAATTTTTAAAAATAACAAAAATTTAATGAACACATAAATGAGAAAGCTCTGATTCAACACAAAGTCCCTTGCAGGATGTACAGCCCCCGCTGATGTGGCTACGCTCATCTTTCTCCCACAACAAACATTATCTATAACTGGAAACCATCCATGGCATCTGCACCTGCGGCCATTCAGCGGTCTTCTTTCATACCAAAACACGCACAGTCCGGGTGTGGAACGTCAGTAAAGATACAAAAGCATCACACTTCCCCCCCCGGCTACTGATCAACATTACAATGATAAGCTAGCCTTGACATAGATCTTTCATGAATTGCGCAGTTGACTGTGGTGGAATCAAACAGTCCCCTATGCTAGGCTCTACATAGCAACATAACTTGTTTGGCAAACAGTATGTTATATAATATACATATATATATATTCTTTCTTCTTCCTTGTTCTCGATGACAGCAGGTAGACAATCAGACAATGTTGTGATTAGGGTGGGATCTTTTCCATCTGTCTCTTATGGCAGATTTTATTAGCGTTTTTGACTCTGAGAGATCCATACCATCATCAATCTGGGTCATATTGGCTACTTCTTTGGCATTATATATATGATAAATGACATTTGAACGAACTGGCCCTTTTGCAGAGTGTGTGTTTGGTAGAGTCCTGTATATTCCTGAAATTGTCCAGCAATTCTTCAGTATCGCATCAAAGAAACAAAAATGCCTCTCATTTGAAACTAAGCTACTTTTGATTGAGAAAGCCGAATTTAGACACTACTTAGTTCCACTGAATAAAGACATTGGGACAGAAGAGACAGTAAGGGAGGAAAGTGTGTTCATTTTGCAGTCTGTTACTGTACATTGAACCATGCCTGTAAACAGGCAGTAGGTGCCATTCTTTGCATCCCCAGGAGGGGGCCCCACACTTACATAGGCGCCTTCGTAATGTAAATTTACTGTGTTTTCATCCCTTACAAAATTTTAGGAGATTCAAAGGAATTTTAAAATCCAAATTTGATTGAAATCCATCCACAAATAAAGTCTGTAGAGGCTGACCGAAATTTGGAGATTTGGAGCGAGTTTTTGTAAAAATAAACATACAGATTAGTATTCTGTCCAATAGAAGGTTTACTGGACAGTCAGCTTTTGGACAATTGCTATTGCTTTATTGTTCTAACTCATAAAAAAATTTCCCTGAATGCCAAAAGGATAAATTTTCAAAGTGAAAACATTTCTTTAAAAAAACCCTCCAGGGCACAGAAGTACTTACATTTATGTTTCATACGCCGAATTTCTGTCAACGTATATGCCTTGTTGAACTTGCTATTCACCATGTGCATCAAGTTTTCATTCCGAGGGTCTAGTTCGACAATGTCCTGCGAAGGGAGAATGAAGACATTGCAGAAAGGAAAACATTTATGGGAGAAAAAAAGTGCAACTACTTCCTCAATTTCCTCTTTATTAAAAACATAAGACATGTTGATTTTAATTTTAACCAGCCCGATGTGACCCAAAAAGGGAACAGTCTGCTTGAAAATTTCTTTAACTCAGCAATGTGGCTAGTCAGTGGCGTGGGCCACCAGTATAATATTCTTTCATTTTATATGATATGTTTCCATGCACTCAAAACTTGGTGGCTCTAATTATGTTAGAAGATATGGCATCATATATTTACTTTTTTACGTCGTGACCCAAAAATAGACCAGACATTTTTCACCCTTCTAATGTCCTTGTTGTGCATGTATTTCACACCATGACGCAATAACGTCCTATATGCGTCCCCTCCACTCGAGGCCAAAGGGTATAGCACACCACAAGACAGTGAGTCATAGAGTAAAAACCTCAGTATAACATAGCCTATTTGGTTGAAAATAAAAAGCCTATTCTCGACTGTAACCTAGTGAAATAGGTCTATTTGCTGCTGGAGTCATAGTTAGAACTGTTACCATCGGTAATACGTAAAACGTACCCGCGCAAAACATTCTTTTCGCTAAAAATGTTCCCTTTCCGTGTGTGTGCGTGTGTGAGTTAGTCTAAAGTCCGTATAACAGGGTTCAGACATTGTAAAATGTGAGAATAAAGAACAGAGCAAAAGGAATGCAATTTTCCTGTGGAGATCACATACATGTTACGAGTTCATTTGTTAAAATTGGGGCTTGTAACCACTCCCCTCCCCCTTTTCTCTCTCTCTCTCACACACAACCATACTCACACACACATATATATATATATAAA